AAAACTTATTTCAAAAAGAAAGCTTTTCATTTAGAATGTTTCTACTTTTCTCTTTCTGTGCTGTAACATTAGGGAGGATCTGGTCAAGAAATCCAGCTGAACACAAATAAGGCAGCCAGCCAAGCAGTTTGGATTTTAAAGAGACACTTTTTTCCTTTTGTCTTAACTGGTTTTTCATAAGCCTAGTAAATTTTGTAGGTCCTGTAATTTACATTTTAAATATAAGATTAGGAAAGTTAGAGACCCAGCAGAAGTTAAAAGGTGAGTAAAGCTGTTGTAACCATTTTTCTTTTCTTGTATAAGATAATGCTCTTGAAGCATGATGTTGCAGTTTACATTTTTTTTTTTGTGGAGAGTTATTTTTTCTTTTCTGTTTTTGTTTTAAATCTTGCAAATCTTGTAACAGTTTCCACATATAGTTGAGTATAAGTAATGATTTCTTGTGGATTGGAAAGGACAGAGCATGGTAGCCACAGGGAGCTTTTGGATCCTTTTTATTTTTTTTTCCTTTGCCCCAGACCAGGCTGGCCTCTTGAGGCCATGCATAAAGCCATACCATAAAAGTATTTATCACCATGACATTAGTATTTGTGTCCAATAACCCTGTAATTGACTGCTCATTTAAACAAAGAGCTAATTTAGGCTTATTTACAGTAACTAATAAACATGTTTCAATGACAGTAGAGTCAAACCTTGTATCTTCCTTTCATTTAAAGGTTGTAACTCTTTCAATACAGCAAAAGGTAACTGTTCATATTTTGGTTGGTTAGCAGAATTTATCTTAATAGGACAGACAGGTAAGTTATGAGACTCCCTCCTCCTCCACAGCTTGTCCCAACATTCAGTTAACTGGGATCTAGTTGGGGGCGGGGCGGCTTCCACAGCTGGCCACGGAGGCAATGGCAGTGAGTTAGAGGAGTCATGCGTGGAGGGCTCTGGGCAGAGTATAGTGGCCAGCGTTGTGCCGCCACTTCAGGGGGAGCAGAGGGGACTTAAAGGGGCCAAATAGCCAGACACAGAAGGAGAAGAGCAGGCAGGTTGATAAATAGAGGGTTTCTCAATTGCATCTGTACACAGGAATAGAAGTTCGTGTGTCTCACCTATTTTCTCCCAGTCTTCAAATTTAGTGTCCCACTTTCTGGATAAAAAGGACAATAAGAGCTTATCTCTCTCAGCAAGGCAGCAAGATCAGCACTATTTACAGTACGTTCAGCCTTGCTGAGTAGGACAGAAAGCTCAACCTAATGACATTGTTGTTGAGCGTCAGACAGAGATAGAGAATTACCCATAGCCTACTGATTAGGGACCAGTACCAGCCAATGAAAGAGACACACGTCCGAAGTCTGTTCCAGGCATAAAAAAGCTACTCCCTTCCCTTGTTACCTGTCGAAGTCCAGAAGGGTCTCTATTAAGGTGGATTCTGTTGTCCCAAATTCTCTGTGGACTGGGAGTCCTTTGGGGAGAGAACTCTTCTCATGCCCCAACATTGGTCATCACCAGTTGTAAAGAATAATAAATAAAGGGTGACACAGAAACAAGGTGCAGAGGCAGGGAAGGTGGCAGAGGGGCCCTTTGTCCAAGCAGCCACGTTTGTTTATTTACACCAATAGGTCACATTAGGTCATTAGTACCACACCACATTATTGTTTAGAGTATCAGTAAGGGCGCTTGTTCTGCAGTTACATTTCACAGTTACAATAGGCAACTCAGGAGTTTTGTGCAGCTCTCAAGAAGGTCCAGTGTCTGAAGTCACTGTGAGGTGGGTGGCTCCAGGAGCATCTGAACTTGGAGAAACACTGTAGTTATCTGGCAAGCAAGTTCCTCTATTCCTAGGAGCTATGTGCCTGCCTTCAAGGTGGAGGTGGATGAGGCTCTAGCACAGAGGCATCTCAGGGCAGGACACTGCCATACCAGCTAGACATGGCACGTACACTAGCTCTGTTACTAGATCCTAAGAGAGACTGCAGGGCATTCTAAGGGTAGGAAATGGGGTGAGGGGGATTGCTCACCAGGGGAATGCTTCCCTGTACATTTCTATGGTCAGAAGGCCCTACACCGGTATCCCATTTCACAAATGAGGAGACTGAGGCTCAGAGAAGCCAAGTAGCTTGCCAACATCACTCAGCCAGTGCAGTGAAGGTGAGGACTTGAAATCAGAAATCAGGACTCAATATGTGGCCCTCTGTGATGGACTAAGAGCAATCTCTTTACAGTAGATCAACAGCAACTTAGGTAACATTTCTATTTAGTTGTGTTGATCAACTACAAATTTTCAAAATTCTTCCAAAGGAAAAAAAATCCGCTATTTCTACACAATAGTTTGAAATTTACATGATGATTGAAGATGCAGTTGGGCGCTTATTAGCTGTAACCGAGGAAAGCCGCCAAGAGACTGAGGGCAGCACCTCAGGGCTGGGTTTGAGTTTGAGGCCAGCATCAGCAACTTAGGGAGATGCTCTTTCAAAATAAAATAAAAAGGGCTGGGAATTTAGCTCAGTGGTAGAGAGTGCCTGGGTTAAATCCCCACTACCAAAAAAAAAAAAAAGTTAAAAAAAAAAAACCAAAACAGCCCTAGTTCTATGTGGCACATGTTCTCTTTGTAAAAATAGGTCCCATAGATATGCCTGTGAGAAGGACTTTAACCTTAATTGTAACCATTCCCTTTTATTTCAAGATTATATTCATGTGGTTACCTTTTGTGCGAATGTGAATTATGCAAAGTTGAAATTAACACAACAGGAACTATTACTCATGCTTAGGTTCATTAGTGACATTTTAAAAATAACATCTATCTTCCAAATTAAAAATTCCTCAAGAACCACACACTTTGAAGCTGCCAGGAGCAAAGAACTGTGACTGTGTTGACACTGTTCACGAGACACAGCAGCCTCTCTGTGCAGGGCCCTCCAGGCCCTGGGGTAAGTTGGGAACACACAGCCGATCCCAGCACCCCTGGAGTCTCCCTCCAGCTGATGGAGGTGTGAGGTGGGGGCACGAGCAGGGAACAGGTGGGGTGCGGTACAGAGTGCAGGGGCAGGAGGGGAGAGCAGGAAGGGGGGTGCCACCATGCACCCTGTCCTCACCCTGCCCACACCCAGCAAAGATCTGAAGGAAGAGGATGAGGCCAAGAGTGCCCTGGACCATTCCAGGAGATGGCTGAGAACCAGTGAGGCCACAGGGGACAGAGGGAGCTCTGGGCCACTTGGCACATGAACCAACGCCACTTCCTTTGTCAAGATTGGCCTCAAAGCAGGCAGCCTGTGGATTCCGTGGGGAAATCTTCCAGAACACATTTCTCGCAACTTCCCTCCACATGCGTAATGAGAATTAACACACGTTAATGAGGAAGCTGGACAGGCACTCTTGGTCTGCGCAAAGCCACCAAACACCAGGGTTGCACATGTCACCACGGGGTCCTTTTCTTCAGGACCCTCGGGTAGCTGAGCAAATAGAGACCCCTGTGTGCAGGAGAGACCGAGAAGGGCACCAGAGTCTGGGGGCTGTGTGCTGGTTTCAGAGGGTTGAGTGACTATAGCTACTAAGGGGCCTCAGTTGAGGGCAGAAGACCAGGGCAGCCCTCACCACACGCCACCTCCCTCGGCTGTGCCTCCCAATATGCCCACTGGGGGGCGCTCTTGGCCCGCAGTTAGGGCCAGAGGAGGGCATATTTGGAATGGCAGCCCAGGAAGACTTAACATTGTCACAAATGAAAGGAAAACTTCCAGATCTGAAGATAAGAAAAAAAAATACCCTCTTCTCCCAGCCCTCAATGAAATCAGAGATGAAAGAAGACAGTTTTAGCCTGGCAAATAAGAAAATAAACAAGTGCTTGAAACGGAGAAGTTTTTTCTTTTAAATGTGTTTTTGCAAAGGGATTCTCTTCCCTGAAAAACAAAATACTAAAATAGCAGGTTGTGTATTTATTTATACATCCTTCTCCAGAGGAAATCTAATAATAACGAAGGGCTCCCATTGGACCCCAGCTTATTTCATACTGTAAACATATTTGTGTCCTCTGGGGAAAGCAGTCAACGTACCCTGAGCCAGGTAGTGAGTTTGCATTTGAATTTATGATTAGATTCACTTGCATTTCCCCCTTTTCTGTCTTGAACTAAAGAGAAGTTTTATTAGAGTCTACGTCTGTGTGTTGATTGGAGCAGGGCTCTTCAGCTAGTGATATACGTCACAGACAGAAGGGAAGACATTGTCTGCCGAGCGTGCCCTGTCCTGGGCCCCTCAGGAGAGAACTGTGCCCCTAACAAGCCATGTCCTTGTCCTGGGAGCCAGGCTGTATCCCAGAGGGAGAAAAGGGTCAGGATTAGTCACACTTTCAAACCTCAGCTGTGTTGGTTGCAATATTCGTATTATTTGGGTTCTTTGAGCTTCAGTTTCTTCCTCCAGGAAGGAAGAGTAATAATGTGGTAGAGTAAACATGGCGGCGGCTACAGTCTGGATTTGGAATGGCCCCAGCCATGGCTCTATTGGGAGGCGGTGGAGGCTGGGCCTCCTGGGAGGAAGAGAAGCCACAGGGGTGTGCCTTGAAGGGTCAGCGGGACTCCAGCCCCTTCCTCGACCACTCCTTTTGTTTTCTGGCCAGGATGCAGTGATGGGCTCCCACCTTGATATGCTGCATCGCCAAAGAAACAGGCCAATGGGCCATATACGGAAACCTCCGGAACTGTGAGCCACAAGTAACCCTCTCCTCCTCCCCCTCCTCCTCCCCCTCCTCCCCCTCCTCCTCCCCCTCCTCCCCCTCCTCCTCCCCCTCCCCCTCCCCCTCCTCCCCCTCCTCCTCCCCTCCCCCTCCTCCCCCTCCTCCCCCTCCCCTCCTCCTCCTCCCCCTCCCCCTCCTCCTCCCCCTCCTCCCCCTCCTCCTCCCCTCATCCCCCTCCCCCTCCTCCCCCCCTCCCCCTCCTCCCCCTCCTCCTCCCCCTCCCCCTCCTCCCCCTCCCCTCCTCCTCCTCCTCCTCCTCCTCCTCCTCCTTTCAGTTGAACTGGGAACTCTGCAGAATTTTTTTTTAATTCTAATCTGTTATGTGTGACAGCGGAATATGTCACAATTCTCATCACCCACACAGAGCATGATTTTTCACGTCTCTGGTGTACAGCAGGCGTATTCACACCACTCGTGTCTTCATTCAGGAACTTTCCTTCTGATAAGTTGGTCAGTGGGTCTTTTATCATAGTCACAGCCCCACCTCCAACCCTCCTCCGGCTGGGAGGTGGGCCCACATCTGTTCCTTTGGGACCTGGGTGGACTCTGGGGCTGTTTCACCAATAGAAACTGGAGGAAGTGATGCTGGGCCCTTCTCGGGCCCCAGCCTCAGGACGCAGTGCTCCTACTTCCCATCTGGAAACAGAGCGCATGCCTGAGCCTGCCCAGCTTCTCACCCCGAGGGATGAGGTGGCAGCAGGGAGCCTCAGCCCAGAGCTGGAAGGTGTGCGGGGAGAAGGACGCCTCGTACCCAGCTGCTCCCGCCTGGCCGGGACAAGCTGGTGGTGCTCTTGCCCTGCTCTCTGAAATCCCCTCCTCACTGTCATGAGATATGGTGACAAACTGCTGCCAAAGCCACTGGGTGTGGCCTGCTGTGCTACACCGCTGCCTGCACACACTAAAGGCCCATCACGAGGGTCTGTGTCAGTTTTGCACACAACACCTCCAAGGCACCTGTCCCCTGGGCTGCACAGAACCTCCCCCAAGCTCACAGAGGACACTGAAATCCTCACAGCTGACCCTCTGGCCATCCAGGGGCTCTGGAATCACAAATCCTTCCCAGTCCCAGCAAGTCAGGTGCAGGAGAGCCTCTAAGTCGCCCGCTGCCCTCAGGGCTACTAAACCCGCGTGCTCTCAGGGACAACGTGCCTCTGGGCGCTCCAGGGACCTGGCAGAGCGGACAGGGCAGCACATGCTGGGCTTGGCTTTCTCCCCTGCAAACCTCCCCAGGCAGTCACTTTGGGCTCGTGAAGTTCGGGGGCCTGGGAGAGTGCAGATGCAGCCCTTGACGCCAGGCTGTGTGGGAGGGCGGGCTCGCCAGGCCACCAGAGCCCCATGGCCCCAGAACCTCACACCCCATCCCACGGCCCCAGGTAGCCTTATCTTTTGGGCATAGGTGTTTCAGGGACACTTCTAGTGATGACACTCTTGGGCTTCTTGAATCACGGGTAACCTCAGGAAATTGTCTCCCCAGTGTAGTGGACCTGCAGAACTCAGAATCCCAAGAAAGAGAGTGTGCTGACTCCTGCGTCTCCCCTGTGTGGTCCACTGCCCGCCACACCTTGTCCCTCCTGGCTCGATGGCAACCTACTCTGACCTCCTAGTCTCTATCCATCCATTGTCCCCACCGTGGCACAAGCTTCTGAAGGCACAAATGGCCCCGTGTGGCTATACCCCTCTGGTTTCGTCGTCCCTCATGGAGGGAAGACCAGGTTCCAGGTGCACAGGGCTGAGACCTGGCTGGGGTCCTGCCCCTGCCTGCTGCCCTGCCTGGCCTGGATGATGGTTCATGGCAGTGCCAGGGAGGTGCAGGGACTGGGGGTGGGGACACAGCACCGGTGATGGCCACAGACAGGGGCAGCCTGGAGGGCAGGCGGGGTTCTCCAGAGCACTTGTACACCTCTGTCTGCCACGGGGTCCTACCTGGGACTCTCCGCAGCAGCCAGAATCAGAGGACTGGACGACTACCTTCCCTGTTGATCCTCTGGAGCTGTTGGAGGAAGAAGAAAAAAGGAAAAGCTAAAAACAAAACGTAGGGAGAGGGGAGACATCAGCTAGGACTCACAGGTGCCCAGCAGGGCTGGTCCAGGCTCCTGACCGCTGTACCAGCGCTTCCTGTTGGCTCTGTCCCCGAGGACACCTGGCCCTGAGGGTTCCCAGAGGGCCATGGTGACACACCTCAGACTCCCACTCAGGAACCAGGCTTCCCTGGCGCCCTCTGCTCCTCTGTTCTTGTCTCCCTGCTGGGTCTCTCCGTGCCAGCGGCCCCACGGGTCCTCAACTTCTCCTTTGGACACCAGACACAGTGTTCCCACAGCCACAGCTCTGCCCAGTGTAAGCAGACCGCAGCTCACTTCTCTTCTCCCCATGGGCCTCCTCTCTAGAGGGTCTTGTTGCCCTTGGTTGGGTTCCTGCCGCCCGCCATGCTTAATTCTCAGGACAGAATGGCAAGGCAGCACCTGGCAGGTGCCAGGTGTGTCAAGGGGCCATGCAGGCTCAGTATGAGGACGTGGTGCTTGAGGAAGGTTCTAGAAGAGGCTTTGCCTTGACAGTGGCTCACCCTCACTCCTCACTTGTGGGGATTAGCATGAATCCTGGAGACGCGCAGCCCCGGTGCTGTGTGAGGCTACAGGAGTGACACACCTGTCTCCTCCAGCCTCCGGCCTGAGCAGGTGCCAAGCTGCGGCACTTGTGACTTCAATTTTACGATTCTGGCTTTGGAGTCCAAATCTGGAGCTGTAATTTAGAAGAGCATCAACCAAGCCGACTTCCAGGGTGGACGAGTATGTCTCTGATATTCCCTGCAGGCTTCTAAGACAACCTTCTTCTGTGGCTTGGTCAAGTCTCTTTGCTGTTTGATGCTCATGGCGCCGGGACCCACAGCTTCCTGGCTCGAGGCACGTGCTGCTGGGACCCTCGTATGGAGTTTCCCCCAGTGGGCTTCCCCCCTCCCCGGAGGCAAGGATTCCCTTTCCAATTCTTAGGAAATATTGGATTGATTTTGTTTTCTTCTTTTGTCACAGAGGAGAATTTACAAAGAACTTTGCTTCTGACAATAGTAGTTTTAGATCAAAAATTAAACTAACATTCATATTCGGATAGCAGTTGATACATTTTCACAAAACGGAATGTTCTGAGCTGACGCACAGTGTGGTGTTTGAAGCTGAAGTTCGGCTGATTTTACTGCCAGAGCAGAGCCCTGATGCACTCTGTTTGCGCACTGGTCAGATTTTGTAATATTCTGGAATCCTGGATTCTGTCCACAGCAGTCTTGATGAAACTAGGCTCTCAGGCTGGGGGGACAGAGGGCCAGCTGTGTTCACCTGCTCGTCCAGATCTCTTAGCCAAAAGCCTTCATGTGCCAGGGGCGGGATCCACAGGGGTCTCTGGAGGGAGTTGCTTTTTAACAGGAGAGACGCACAGTGAATAACACTTTCTAAAATTACCAGCATGAAGAGCTGCTGCCCACGGGGCCGCCCCACCTGAGGCTGCGTTGTGGGTGCCCGAGGGAGGGAGGGAGGGGCAGGAGCAGGATCACCAGGGCTGGCCAGGCCATTCAGGTGGGGTCTGAGGGAGGCACCTCGGTTGATAATGAGCCCTGGAGAGGGCCTGGCTCAGACGCCACCTGCCCTGGAGCAGACGTGAGTCTCTGAGCAACCAGCACAGAGCCTTCCAAGCTGGACTATCAGGCTGTCCACTGGACAAGGGCGTCTTTGCCAAGGTCACTGTGGCATCTCCAATGTTGAAAAAGTGGCAACGGCTAAAGATTAATAACACAGAAACAAACAGAAAAGATGGATTTAGCCAAGGGGTACTCTCACATTGGAGTCCATTCTTTCCAGGGATCCATTTTCGAAAGTATTTGTGTGGCTATTGTGATTATCTGAGGACAACAGAGAAGACATTCTTATTTGAGGAGGGAACACAGGACGGGAGAGGATTAAAGAGTGTATTTGGGTTGATGCTTGTATTGTAAGCAGCTCCAGGGAAGGGGAGAGGAGGGTGCGGAGGGGACCAGGGCTGACCTTGGTGGGGTGTGACCGCTCCTGCAGATGACCCCAGACAAGCCCATGCACTCAGACACAAATAGGCCATGCACACACACACACCCTCTTGGGGACAGCAGGGGATCATTCCAGAGGTGACACTGGCCTGGGTGAAGTCCATGGGGGGCCCGAGGAGGGAGGTGCAGCACAGGGGTCCCAGCTGGAACGCTGTCACCCTGGGCAGCACAGGGGAAGGTCTGTCCCCAGTGTTCCAATGTCATCCACAGGCCGAGGTCTTCCTGACCTAAGCCCCCCTGTCTGGTCCACGGTCCTGGTTGGGCAGAGTGGCCAGGCAGGAAGAACCTGGAAGAGGGGGCTCTCCACTCTGCGAGAGGGCAGCTTAGCCCCAGGGCAGAGGGAGACCCCAGAGGTGGCTGCAGCAGACCCCTTGGGGAGAGGATAGCAAGGTCAAGGCCTGTGGCTCCCCTCCCATTCTCCCCATAGAAGTCCAGCTGAGAACATCCTTGCCTACGTTTTAAAAACCAGTTCCCTTTCATGTGGAGATTACACAATAATTGACATTGCTATAAAGAAATACAGCAATTTAGAGCATTAAACCTGAGTAAGCCTAACAGAGACCATCCAGACTCTGTTCAGGGGGACATGCTGCTTGCATTTACTGACACCTAATAACAGCCTCCTGGGATCACGTGAATTCTGGAGAGGGTAATTAAAATGGGCATGAGGCCTTTGATGGGCATGAGGCCTCCGGTGAATGACTGTTACCCAGGAGACTCACCGGCTTCAGTCTGCCTTTCATTAGCACATAATAATATCTCACTTTTATGGGAAGTTGCTTCAGTTGGTTTTCTTAATTAGGTTTAACTGAAGGATGAAAGTCCAAAGCCCTGAGAGGCACCCTGGGCTGAACAGTCATCCCACATGAAAATCACATGCGTCACATGTGCAAGTCACAGAGAGTCGTATCTTCTAGAGATCCTGGGACCGGCAAAGACTCATCTCAGATGCTCCTGGGGTTGTGCATTTAACTGCAAGCCACCGAGCTTGGGCTGAATGTGGGGAAGAGCCAGGGTATGTGACCCAGGTATCCTGCTCCATCTTCCAAAGATACAGAAACCTGCCGGGGTCAGTAGGTAGCTGGTGAAGGTCATCTGTACTCCCGGCCAGAAACGAGGCCTGGGGATAGACAAGTGGATTCTCCCTCTAGGAATAAGTTCGCCAAAGGAGAAATCTCTCTGCTATCAGGAATATTTGCTCTTTTTTCCTGAGCAATTAATTTGTTCAAATCACATGAAATTTTCAGTCATGTTACCATTTAGCTTCTAGAAAGCCTAGCATTAAATACGACTCACCTTTTGCTGGGTTTCATATTTGACAGCATTTCCTGGGCCTCCCAAGGCCACATGGAGATTGTTCCTAGTTTCAGAGCCCCACATGCTGGTCGTCCAGATGTTCTCAGCTATTTTTATATTCTGTTTGGTCTTGTTGAGCTGTAGGTGTTTCCATCAGCTGTCTTGAATCATTTCTGGAACAAAGTGTCGTATGAATAAGTAAATAAAGAAAAGCTGATTGCAAATTTAAAAAACTCAAGCAATTTAACCACACACTCCAAACTAATGCAGTAAGATCAAAGCCAAGAAGGGAGAGCACCCGTCCAAAAGCACGTGCAATAAGCACTAAGATAAGCAAAATTAAATCTTAACAGCTGCCCCTCCCTCTACGTAGAAATACCATCAGCCCAGGTGATGTCCCCCTTTATGGGTGTCTGGCTGCCAGAGCTCTTTCATCCTTGGCAGGAGTGAAACCCGGTGGCCCTGGCTCCAGGGACTCCCTGGACCTGCCCCGCATCTTGCCCTGTGGCTGAGCTGGTTCTGTCCTGGCACTTACGTCTCTTCTGTGAGCTTTGATAAGCACTGAACCTGCTAAAGGTGAAGTATTTGAACAGGCACCTCATGCAGTTTTGTGGATCCAGTGAGAGGCATTCCATCCATGCCAGGCACACAGGGGTGGAGCGGGCATTGCCTTTGAATAGCTTTCAAATAGACACAAATACAAATTATTTCTCTATGAAAAACTTTGAATCTTCTCAAGTTCTTCCACTGATGGTTGGTTGAAGGCTTACCTTTTTAACATTATGTAACACACGGGGGACAACTTTAGCTTCTCAGTCTTTAAGGATTCCAATACCAAAAGAGATTGTTGAGACTTAAAAGGATCACTTATTTATTCCCCCAGCACTGATCCGGGAGAGGGGAAGGGGTTAGCCAGCTTTCCATTGCTGCAACAGATACCTGAGTTTATCCACTTATCAAGGGAAAAGGTGGATTCGGGCTCACGGTTTTAGAGGTTTTAGCTCATTGTCAGCTGGAGCTGTGGCTTGGGGCCTGTGGCAGCAGGTCACGACAAAAGAGTGTGGCAGAACCAGAGAACCAGCCTGCTCCCCTGGTGGCTGGGAAGCAGAGAGAGGGAGGCCAGGGTCCCACTTCTCCTTGGAAAGCCCACCCCCAATGACTGGAACACCTACCTGCAGGCCCCACCATGGAAGCTTCCTCCTCCCCCCACAGCTCCACACTGGGGACCAAGGCTTTGCCCCATGAACCTTGGGGACACTGAAAGTCTACTAACCAGCAGGCAAGGACTAGTACTGAGATGGTTTTCGCTGGTCCATGTATGCATATTTTACTCAGCATTTCGGAGAAGCATCAGTTTATCAAGCTGGGGCTTGGCCAAGAGAGCCAGCACGGAGCAGCGAGCGGTTCACCCCACCCAGGTGGGACAAGGCCGGTGCCGAGAGCTTGCCCCTAGAAGAACAGCATTAGCAGCAGCGGTTCTTCAGAAGCTTGCCATGCGAAAGGAGCATCTGAATTACTGGGACAGAACGAGAGATGGGGAAACAGACTGACTCTGCCCAGCATGAGACACTCTCTTAAGAACAGCAGTGTCCCCACATGGAGCAAGGTGCTTGCAGAGTCCCTAGAAGTGTTCCAGTGACACTGGACATCCTCTGCCAGCTACGGAGGCCCGGAGCACTGCCGTGGTGGGAGAGGGGCTGGATGGAGAGCAGGGCTGGGCGGAGAGCCAGGGTCCTGTGCACATGAGGTCCTGATATGGCTTTTTTGCTTCTTGGGCAGCAGAAGGGAGGGCACAGCCTCACTGCGTGACCTACGTAATGTCAGTCCTGTAACAACTGGCGAGTACCAGACAGATATGAGAACTTTAGAATGACGACTTAGGTCACACTATCTTGGCCAGACTAACCGATACACGCCGCGTCTTAGCATGACTGTTAGCATGAAGAAGGAAGTTGGGGCTTTGCAGAGTCCATAAGAGCAGCTGAAACACCGTCCTCATTCCTTGGTGGAGGGATGTTTTGCAGGCAGTGCAATCTTGCACGCGAGTGGACCTACTTTATCAGAGGGTCTGGTTGTGAAGACACAGGTCACCCAAAGGCACCAGAAACGATCTGCTAACTATAAAGAGCCACGTTCCCTTGCCATCAGCTGTTCCTGGGCCGTCTGGGTCAGTTCCTAGTGTGTTGTTCATGAACGATATTGTAAAGATCCTGAAATTTGTTACAAGAAAAGATTGTTCCTAGTTTCAGGATTTCGTTTCAAGGCAATCAAGGTTTCATAAAATCATAGAGTAGACCCTGCTTCAGTGACCAGGAAAATATGTAAAGAACATTCGATTTAGAGGTGTGGCCAGACCATGGGCTTTCAGCACGGGGTCAGTCGGCTTCCGGGATCTCTTGGGGACCAGTGGGGGACGTTCTAGGAAGCGCAAAGCAGGAGTGGCAAACAGTTCCAGGCAAGTTCAGGCTGAAGCTTGGTCACACAGTGCAGCATGGGATCCCCAGCCACCTCCCTCCATTAAAGCAATGACGAAGACAGAAAAACTTGCCGTATTTACCTCTTCTCAGATCTCAGTAATCGGGTGAAGAACTTACGACTATGAGGATAGTTATAATATTCAAAATGTCCCTTTAGCATAAAAGTTATGAGGTATGCAAAGAAATAAGTAGGTTTGTTTGGGGTGGGGGACAGTAAAGGAATTGTCCCTAAGGAAGTCCAGGCATTGGACTTGCCAGACAAAGACCTGAATCAACTGTCTTAAATATGCTCAAAGAGCTGAAACAAACAAACAACAACAACAACAAAGACCTAAACTAAACCAGGAGGATGACGTCTCGCGGCACAGACTAGCTACAAAGAGAAAGGAAATGACCAAAAGGAACCAACAGAAATTCTGAAGCTGAAAAGTATAGTAAATACTATTTAAAATTCACTAGATTACTTCAACAGCAGATTTGAACAGGCAGAAGAATCAGTGGTCTGGGAGTTATTTCAGTTAAAATTATCCCATCTGAGAAGTAGAAAGAAGAGGGAATAAATAAATCAACCTACAGGAACCTGTGTGGGACACGGAGCAGACCTCTGTGCCATGACAGGAGTCCCTGAGGGGGAGAGAAGGAACGGGCAGGTGGAGTGCCAAAGACCACCCGTGTTCCCACATGTGATGAGAACTGCGGATCTGCACCATCCACAGGCGCCATGGCGTCCTCCAGGAGAAGACTCAGAGACAGCCACAGAGATGCACAGGAGAGAAGTGACACACAGCAAGGGAGCAGTGACCTGGCACATAGCAGAAGATCCTCAGGAGGCCGTCAGCAACTTTCTCCACGGAAACCATAAAACAGAGGCAGCCGTGTGACACCCTGAAAAGCTGAAAGGAAGAACTGTCAACCCAAAATCATACACCAGGAAAATCCTTCCCCGTGAAGGAGAAATCAAGAATAAAGCAGGCTGAGGAGTCACCACCAGGAGACCCACCTGCCCTTGAGATGCTAGTGTGGCCCTCGAGCTGCAGCAGAGACCCCCCCACACACAGCAGCTGGAGGCCACAGGAGGAAAAGAGGAACACCACGAAGGTCACCGTCCAGGTGCCTAGGACAACCAGCATTGCCATTTGCACTCCTGAGGTCTCGCCTTCCTGTGTAATTTAAAATGTAAATACATAAGACATCGTTAAAAAGCTGTCCCTGGACACCCAGTCGTGAAAGATGTGATTTTTATGATGACAGCATAGAGGGGAAGCAAATGTAGAATAGAAGTAGAGTTTCAGAAGCTGTGTTGATATTAATTAAAACTAAACTGTTAACAGATCTAATGTGCTCACTGCAGACCCCCAGGATAACGACTAAGAAAACAATTGAAAAATAGATAAAAAGGTACACTAGAAAAAAAATAATAAACACAAAAAATGTAGCAATGAAGAAATTGAGGAATAAAAACATAACATATCAGAAATGAATGTTAAATATCAGAAGAAAGGCCTTAATTGTTGGTAATCGCTTTAAATGTAAATGAATCAAACTTTCCAATTAAAAATCAGAGGTTGGCATAATGGATGAACAAATGTACTAATTATTTTACTGTCTACAGAAGACTTGCTTTTAAAGACACAAACAGGTTCAAAAAAAGAAGGATGGAAAAAGATATTCCAAGGAATTTTTAACAAAAAGAGAGCTAGGTGTTCATACTAATACAAATCAGGAGACAGAGGGGCATTATATACTGATGAAGCTCAATCCACACAGAAGATGTTATTGTCTTTAAAACGTGCCTATGGAACATCAAAACTTCAAAATGTCGCATAAATATTGAGAGCATTGAAGGGAGGAACAGACAGTTCTACAACAATAAGTGGATATTTCAGTGCTCCACTTTCAGTAACAGCAGAACAACCATGCAAAAGTTCAGTAAGGAGAGAACTTGAGAAGCACTATAACCCAGAGGGACCCAAGAGGCACCCATGGAGACCCCTCAAGAGCAGCAGGATGTACATTCTTCTCAAGGGTACTGCCACAGTCTTTAGGACTGTCACATGTTAGGACACAACAAAGACTGAAGTCAGACAACACAAAGTATCTTCTCTGACGATGATGAATCAAGTTAGAAATCAATAACAGAATGAAAACTGGGAAACTCACAAATATGTGGAAATTGGACAACATACTCTTAAACATCAGTGTAGCAAAGAAGAAATTTCAAAGGGAAAAAAGAAAATTCATTGAGACTAATGAAAACAATAAAACATATGATATGCAGCCAAAGCAGTGCTCAGAGGGAAATTCATAGCTAATGGCTGCATTTAAAAAGAAGGACAGGCCAGGTGCCAAGGCGCACACCTGTAATCCTAGTGGCTCAGGAGGCTGAGATAGAAGGATTGCTGGGTCAAAACCAGTCTCAGTAACTTAGAGATGCCCTAAGCAACTCAGTGAGACCCTGTCTCTAATAAAATATATAAAAAAGGGCTGAAGATGTGGCTCAGTGGTTGAGCACCCCTGGGTTCATCCCTGGTACCAAAAAAATATCAAAACAACAATAAAAAAGGATAGTCCCAAATCAATAGCCTAACCGGACCCATCTAGGAACTGAAAAATGAAGGGCAAGCTACATCCAAAGTTGGCAGAAGAAACAGAAATAAAGAAACACAAGAGATGAGTATAGGGATAAATTAAATAGAGGACAGAAGGACACATAGAGTGACCTAAGCACAGGTGGCTGCTCAAAAATAAATCAACAGAGAGAAGATCCAAATTGCCAACATCAGAAATGAAAGTTAAAACCTCATGGAGATAACATATGGTACGTTACTATCCCAACAGATAGATTAGGTAAAATGAACACATTCCTAAAAAAAAAAAAAAAAAAAAAAAAAAAAAACCCACCACAACTGACTCAAGAAGAAACAGAATCTCAAGTGATTAAACAGAAAGTGAAGAAGTCTGGTCATAACCCCAAACCAGCCGAGTCAGCCAGGACCCAATCACAGCATCAGTGAACTCTACCAAACACTGAGAGAGAGTCCAGACCAGACCTCCCTTAAAACCCAGAAGAGGAGGGAACTCTTTACTCCTTCTACCCTGATGCCAAAGTCAGTCAATGACGTTACAAGAAA